AACATTAAAGGTGAGGAATTAATTACTCATTACTTTAATCTTGACTAGTTTGGCTTCAATTACTTGTTGGTTTACTATGAAGCCGAGAAACACTTGACTGGTTGTCCCAAACCCACATTTTTCTTGATCAAACTTCAACTGATTTTTGCAGGAGTCTTCATAGATTTCCTCTAGGTCGATTACGTGCCAAGAGACTTCATCAATGTTATGTATTTAAAATCAGATTATGCGACAACATAGTAGCCTTTGCAGTCTTCACGATTGCAAACATCAAAGAAATAATAATCTTTATTAGTCGTGCATCAAACTTAACACTTAATGATCACATAACCTCGCTTGATACTTGATAGATATATTAAGCAAGTCCCTCAGATCAATTTAAATTCATTAACGGGATCGTTAAAGTTATGGAGTCTGTTAATGGTTTGTACTTGTAGCAATTAGGACAGTGTATGTGATGAAATTGTGTTCAATTTTTGACATTCTTAATTCTGGAAATGTCTGTCATGAACAAATACTATTTGAAACAGTTTGGCCTCTTAAACGTTGATGACTACTATGATTGCTCCCATGCCCTATTTTATAGATAATGGAAAGAAGGATTTAGGAGGTGTTTGGGAACCATTTTTATGTAAAAATATATTTTTGAATAGTAAATTAATGGGAAATGTGTTGTTGAAAAAGACGGAAATGTTTTTGACTTACGTGTAATATTATTTTAATAAAGAGTGTGTGATTGAAAAGAAGATAGAGAAAAATGCATTTTAAAAAAAAAAGGGTACCAAACGGCTCCCAAGTCATAGATATTGAGATATCAGCCAAGTCAAGACTGCTCGAAAACATACTTTTTATGTTTGGACTGAGAGTATTTAACAGTATAATGAACATATTTTAGTTTCTCATTCTTACTTTCTATAGTTTTATCTAATCCTTCCTACAAAAATACGACAATTGAGAAGTGATTTCGAAATCATTGACAGCAACCAGTACAATCACAAAACTAAACACAACATACGAACAGAGATGTGCAATTTGTTTTATGCAAAATCTTAAACTAGATATCATCAACTGGGTAATAAACCACTGCAGTAAAAAACTGTGACAGGCAAGAAAGACTTATTTGCATAATTTGAATCATGTGTATTAGGACAACTGTAAAAACAGAAGAAAATAAACGGCACATTTAACCTGTTGAGCACATATTGATTCCGTCTTTGCAATCTCTAGTCAAGTTGTAAAACGTCTCTACCCGTGTCTTTGCTCTATAAAGAACCTCAGTATCCACTTCAACTCTCATATAACCATCAAACTCAACAGGGCGACCACCATTCAGAAATGTCGTCTCATTGTACCACTCACTCCTATTTCCCCACAAATACTTGTAATCATCAAGCAAATGAACTTTGTAATGAGATCTCAGCTTATCGAAGTAATTGTAGAATGGTTCGTTGGTAGCAATGTACACATTTCTCCAAGGTTCAATCGTCCCTTGAAGCTTAGTAACAAGAGCATCAGGTGATGTATCAGCATCCAAATTAGGCCACAGCGCCTTATTCTGTGCTTTCTCTCCTCGAACCACGTGAACTGCATCAAAATCCCAGTCCATGCTCCCACTAATAGCAGAAACTATGTTCATTAATCTCTTTGATTTCCAAATGGCATGCCAAGGCCTCTCAATATATTTAGCTG